GACCCCACAGGATTATTTGTTCCTGCTGCAGAGTGTTGCTGGGCCCCGTTGTCTCTGACCATGCTCAGCATGTGTTTAACTGGCATGTCCCTGCACACTCCCGGCTCAGGCACCTGCACTCCCTCTGTGCGCCTCTTGTGACCTGCCTGATGCTCTGGTATTCGTGAGTGGCCCTTCCTGTGGCTGTGTCCTCCTGTTTCAGGTTCCCAGGGGCTTGTTCTAGTGCTGCTGTAGCACAGGCAGTGTTGTAATATGTACAGGAGCCAGCCAGGGTCCACATCCAGGTGTATTACTGATGGAGGGCTGAAAAGGAGTCTCTCTGAAACTGGTCTGAGTTGAGGTCTCCTTGGGAAGGCAGGGGCATGGGGCCTGTTTTCCTGCCTCTCTGCCCCATGCCAGCCCTCACAGGAATTTCTGCAGCATCTTGTACTGGGTGGAGCCCCTGGCTGGTGGTTGTGCCATTTCCCTCCAGTGGGCCAGGCGTTAACTCCTGTGATGCTCATGAGCACCATTTGCTTAGCAGAAGGCAGAACAAAGTCTGCTGAGTCAGAGCACTGGTAACCTTTCTCAGCACTGACCAAAAGTTCTCTTACGTGTATGCCTGCTCCTGGCCACTTGGAGTCCAGACTCATGTGAAGCACATCAGAATATCCATGCTCTTTAATAAAGAGTTTGTGACTTGCAAAGTTCTACATAGTGGTGGATGGGTGCACTGGGAAGTGTAGGCAAGGAGGCAGTTGCTGTAATATAACACAGGTGTGGAGTGTGGAAACATTGGGTTTTATGAGTGGCTGGTGGAGATTTTGCTTTTATTTTATCATGAATCCTCAGGCAGAAAGTTTGTAGGTGAAATCTGAAATGGGCTCAGTCTGTTTCTGCCCACTGTAATATGAGATGTTGTTCTTGTAAATACTGCTTTCAAGATTAACAATTCCCTGGTTTCTAAGTGTTTAAATTCTCCCCTGCTTGCTTCCATAGCTGACTTTGATGAATCTAAGTCTCCCAGCCTAGAACAGCTGGATACACTGAAAGAGTTTGCTGGAATCCCTGCCGGAGCCTCCGCTCCCGAAAGCCTTGCTACTCTTGCCTTTCTTTATATGTGCCTGGCTATTTCGGCTAAGTATGGGTAAGGCTATCTTCCTGCCCGAAAATAAACATGCTGTCTTGAGTGCTGTTCACTATTAATTGCTTCTACAAGGTCACAGGAAGAAACCAGATCTCTGAGGTGAAATAAGAAATTACAAGGAATCTCACTTCATTTAGTTTCTGAGCACCTCAGGAGTCAATCTGTAGCGTGGGTGGGGTTGCGCAAGCAGGTGGGCTGGGAGTCATCTGCTCTTGTTGAGTTTAAGTCAGAGCAGTTCATCCCACCCTTCCTGCACAGTCAACAGAAGCAGACTCCCTCCAGCAGGCAGCTCATTTCATCCTAGCTGAGGTTAGAAAAATGTGAATTAATTGTCTGAACTAAGTCTGATCTCTCTTGTGGGCTGAATCTCCCTAAAAATATGAGAACTTGGGGTAACAGCAACTCAGGGCTCTTCCAGTTTCTAAACTTGACCAACACCATTGATATGATCAGTGTACGTTACTGGACAGGTGCTCGGGGCAACGTCTGACACAGCACTGCTTGCTGTTTTAAACCAAGTCAGAACCTGACTTCAATATTCATAGCGAAGAAATCAAAGGTTAAGGAGTTACGATGTGTAGCTGCATCATGTTTTGCTTTGCAGTCTCAGAGTTGCTTGGTGGTAGCACTGGGGCTGTCATCAACCTGCTCCGGAACCCTCAGTTTGTAGTTCATGTCACTCACCAGCCAGTGAAAAGCTCTTGGGTTTGATGTTAGGATCTGTAACACAAGCTGGACACATTCAGTGGAGAAAGGGGGCACGTGGCACAGATATGTGCATATTTCATCTTCTCCTTCAGCTTGTCGCTCCAGTGGGATGTAACCATGCAGTTATGGATTTGGGATATTTACGCTTTATTTAGAAATATGTTTAAAATCCTGTTTACAACAATCTTTGAAGGGTATCTTTATGGTGCTACTCAAGTATTTAGTTACTAAGTGCCCCTGCTAGCAGCTTGACAAGCTGTGCTAATCATAGATCCAATTCAGCAAGGCTTTGTTCTAGTACAATGGCTTAGCAAGGCTACTCAGCTGTGCTAACTGAGCACTCATGAAGCCCGTGTGTGTGTGTCGGATGTGTATGCATGTGCTGATATTGCCAGTTTTCAGCCAGGTTTTCCTGTGATCAGTCATAATTGGCATCTTTTGCCTTTGTAATGTTTTCTCAAGATGGAATTCAAGGTCATTGTGTTAGTTCCTGTGTTTGTGTTTCAGAGATGTTCCTGTTTGTGTTTCAGAGATGTTCCGAGTGTGGACATACTGGTGTGGTCTGAACTGCCCACGGGAGCTGGGCTGGGTTCAAGTGCTGCCTATGCCGTTTGCTTGGCAGCAGCCCTGCTGACAGCGTGCAGAGCCATCTCGTGCCCTCTGAAGGAGGGAGAGTCCACAGCCAGGTAACGCATCAGGGAAAGCTCCCTGCTTTGGATTCACAGCCTGGGGCAGCTCTGTTCTCTGTGCCCCTGTCTCTCCTTTTACCTGCACAAATTCGGGCACTGGCATCTCTCTTGGTCTCCCCGGCCAGCTGCTGGGCTGTGGCTGTGGCCACAGGAGTGGCACCTTGAGCCCAGCTCCTTTCCCTTCCTCTCTTATTGCTGCCCTGTGTTCCCAGCAGCAGAGACATGCCCTGTCCCAGGGCTCTGACCCGTGAATCACATCTTTACCATTTACTTCTCCTGATATAGCAGCTGGATGCAGAGACTTCATAAAACTTGCACCATTTCCCTTGCCTAGTGTAAGATACGCATAAGATATACCTAGAATAAGAAAAAGATATACATAAGTTATAAAGATAATTTTTTTTTTAATTTACTTTGCCAAGCAAATAAAACACACACACTTTAATGTGGTGAATCATTTTTAATCTCTATATTTCCTCTCTGTCCCTGAGCATCTTCCAGGTTTTGCTTTGACTCCTCAAGGAGACGAGGATCCTTTCTGTTTTTTCTGCATTTTCATGTGAATTTTTTTCTGCATGTGGTACATTTCTTCCTCATCTCCTGCCTGAGTTTCCCCTTTATCAGTGGCTGGTGAAGGGGAGTTTCTTTCCTTCTGCCCTTGGGTTGCTTTCCCTTGGAGTTTAGTCTTGAAAAGCTGGTCTGCTCTGCTGTGTGTCTGAGGAGGCTCTGTTTAAAGATGCGTATCACAGGTGGAGTGGCAGAACCCTCTGTTGTACGCTCAGTGCCAGGTACAACGTTTTATGGTTGGCTTCTACGGACTTTGTGTGGGACTGAAAGTGAGACAGCAAGAGGGGGGTGACTGTTCTGCTTCAAAAACGGAGTTTGCAGCCTGACGCAGAAACGCGTTCTTAGAGCAGAGCAATTTGTACGCCGTGCTCAGGCAAACCTCCCAAATAGTCACACAGCATGAGAAATGAAAGGCCGGTTCCAAACCAGGCAGTGAGCGGTGAGGATGTCTTCGTTCCCTGCTCGTGCTTCTTAGCTTCAGCTTGAATACAGCGTAATTTTTTTTCCTTCCGGCTGGCATGCAGAGGGGTAAGTGAGAGATGGGGCTGTCAGACTTCAGAAGGTTTTTGCTTAACGTTGCAAGAAAAGAACAGTGTGATATAATGACTCCTGTGTAAAGAAGAATCGCAGCCTCTCAAAGAGGATTAAAAACAAGTGGTTTACAGCAAACTGTGCTTCTATTTTGAGTAGCGGTGGTGTGAGCTGTTTTCCTGAATGCTTCACAGATTAAATATTGGCAAGTGAAATGAAAGGTGTGTGGAGATGGGTAAAGACATTCAGCTGAGGCCCAGGGAAGCATGGAGTTAAAGGAAGCAGCTTCCAGGTAGCAGGTGGCTCTCAGAACATCTGCCTTGCCTTAGCAGTGGTCAGTGACCATTCTTATTATTTCATATAACACTCTGTGATGCTTTTCCAAAATCATTTTTTGTGCCTTTGCTCCATCATGTAATACCTGTTCCGGGCCCCGATTTCTAAAAACCTGTCGAATGTATGTTCTCCCTGCACCGAGCGCCAGCTCTGATCTCTGCAGAGCATCGCTGCTGCTGGGATATCTGATAGGGCTGGGCATTAGGCTGTTCGAGCCGTGGCTTGGACCATGCACTGTGTGTCTGGACTGCAGAGCAGGCAGCGCCATGTTGCAGGGGAGGATCAGAGATGTGTATTTGTGTGCCTGTGTGAGTTTTAAGTGTGTTACAGCAGGGTGGAGGAGGGCTAGCTGGCTCCCTGTGGGCGTTGAGCTTCCATTGGGGTGCCAGGATTTGAGAGAGTCCTTCAGCATGGAGTGGGTGGGTTTGAGAGAGACTGGTGAGTTTTGAAGGTGGTTGTGTGGGTACATGCCTTGTGGAAGTAGGCACAGAGCAGTGGGGTTTGGGGAGAAAGCACTATGGTGGAATTGCCGTGAAGTTGCAGCCAGCAATTGCTTTGTAACGGGCAGCTCTGCGTTGGCTTTTTGTATTGCTACAGCCCGTTAATTAGTAAGTTCAGGCAGGGGCCTTGATCCTTGCTGAGTCTGATCCAGCACCAAACTCTTTGTGCCAGCATTTAAACTCTCAAAGCACTTACCAATTCATGTAACTGCTTTCAAGACAACAGAAAGACCTGGTTTTGTGGTTAGCATAACACCTTCTGGATCTGCATTTGGTTCTCTTCTGTGCTCTAAGTGCCAGCACCCGATGCAGCTTGAAGTGTTAGGAGTTAATCCCTAAAAATCAAAGTCTTTGCTGGAGATAGTAAATCAGTTATAACTACACCTTTTGACCCAATTTGTGAGGTTCCTGCAGCTGAGCAGATGGAAATTAGAGGCGAAGTTGCACGTGTGAAATGCAACTTATTCTCGTCTCGCATCGTGCCTTCTAGGTCTATAAATACAGCGTTCTGCCTGTTGCTCAGCATGATCTCAGGCCAAGATGTGTGGTAACACGCAGTGTCCGGGGAGGTGGGGATAGGTCTGGCCTTGCATTCAGTTCAATTTGTTCTTCACTAGGCCAGGGCTAGGATCTTCTCCCTGAATCTGCGCTCTCCCTCGCCGCTGGCCCGCAGCGAGAGCGCTGGGTAGCGGTTGTGCCCTTCGTGCTGTCTCTGTCCGTGGAGCAGCGCCAGTTCCCCTCGCGGGGCTGGGTGTGTTCTGGGTGCTGCCATGCAGAAAAGTGCCAGTTAGGCGCTGTAAACATCGATGCCCGCTCTCCGCTGAGAGCGTGCAGTGCACAGGGGGAATTTGCAGTGCTGGGGCTTCCCACAGCAACTGGGTGCCCTCTATGGTTCCCACTGCTTTTGTATCTCCTGTGGCCTCTGGTGCTTCTCTCTCGTTGCTCTGCACGTGCTGGTTTCCCTTGTGTATTGGAGTCTTTTTCTTGCCTTTCAGGTGGACAGAAGAAGAACTGACTTTGATTAACAGCTGGGCCTTCCAGGGGGAGCGGATCATCCATGGCAGTCCCTCGGGTGTGGATAATGCTGTTGGTACCTGGGGTACGTGTGTGTTTGCTGCTCCCCAGCACTGAATGTGGGTGCTGAGGAGAGGCTGACGGGGTGGCAGGGCAGCAGCCACATCGCCGTTCTCTGTGCAGATGCCACAAGTTGCATTTCCGCAAACAGTAAGGCTTGGTTGGGGTTGCCGCAGGGACGCTGGATGGAGCAGGTTGCCTCACTGCACCGAAGTGCAGCAAAAGGGAACAGAAACTCCCAAATTCAGGTCCCTGTTTTGACCTGAGTAGAGGGAACCCTTTTCTGTCTTGGTTTGCCCCATCTGCAAGCTGGGACTGGAGCCAGCTGTGCTGTTGGGAGACTTGCCGCGGTAACACCAGAGATCTGCATCCCTCAGGCAAGTGCTGTGGGGCAGAGACCCTGTTGCAACTCCCTGAAACTTAAACGTTCTGGCATGAACAAAGAAACCTAATCCTGTCCCAGGGATAATGCAGTAGAAAATGCAGTTGGACAGCTGTCATTTAGTTTCAATTAGTAGAGACTTCCAAGGGTTTTGGAAGTGCCCTTGGAGACTTTTAATAATCTTTCTAATGAGACCTAATCGTAATGCCTCTGTAAAAGTAGGAGCCAAGTGAGACATTCCTTTTGGACAATGAAATTCTACGCTGAAGGACGGCTGCTGACATGAGTGCACACGTTCAATCTAGTTTGAAACCTGCATGCGTGGCTCTGCCCCAGGGAATCACTGCTTGATTATTTTCTTCAGTAAGGGTTTAATGCTGGCCAAACTCTTTGCCTTTTAAAAAAATATTTAATGTGATCCCAGAGTAGAGGAGAGCAAAGAGAAAGGCATTGGGTTAACTACGTCCGGCCAGACCCTCTCATTAAGTCAGCAGGGTTAGGCAGATTCATGCTGTCTGGGAACATGGTTCATTTAGCTGGCGTTTCTTGCAATTACTGTCATATGCTCTGGGTGAGGTTCTGAAGATGAAAGACCTTCTGTCTCTTACGACACTGTGTTATCTCTCAGCTTGCTGTGTATTGAGACAATGCATGTATTTTACTTTAGGTGGAGCCCTGAGATACCAATCAGGAAAAATCACATCATTAAAGAGGTAATATTCGAGTTTAAAAATAACACTTACATACAGTGGGTGGAATATGTCAAAGAAGCATTGGGTGGATCTTGTAGGGTATAAGATTGATGGGAGATCGCTAACAGAGTGGCGGAAAGGCTTTGTAGCCAGATTTTGCCGCGGGTGTGGGTAGCTTGAGTGTTGTCTTGGTTTGGGGTAGATGGGAACAATGAAATGTTTGGTCATTATCTGACATTAGATGAACACAGCAGAAAGGATCAATATTAATTTCATGGCATTATGGGCAGCAGGAGCGGATCTGCTCCTGGCAGCAAATGACATTGCGAGGAGGGGGAACTTTTTGCTTACCTGGTGGTAGGACTGTGTGAAAACCAAGCTGCAGAGACAAATCCAGGTCCTGCATGTTCCCTCTGCCTCCTGCCAACGAAGTATAATCTGACTCCATTAAAATCTTTCACAGTGCATGAAATTGCTCTATTAGCAGTTAATGGCTACTGCTGGCTAGTCTCACAGATAGTATTTCAAAGGAAAAATTTTACTTGAAAAACATGGATTTCAGTAAATATGTTACAGTGCTATTTATAGCACTAGTACAGTTGTTCCTTGTATCTAAGAGGAACAAGCACGAACCCAGCCAGCACTTAAGCACTTTCTTAACTTTTTTAAAACTAATGGAACTCCTTATCTTGGGTGTCTTGCTGAAATAGGCTTTGTGAGACAGAAGGAACTGTAGGTGTCTGGGCCTTGGGAGCTGCTGGGGGGCCATGAAGGAAAGAGGTGAGGAGGTGTCTCTTGTTGCTTCCAGGGTGCCAACACTGAGGATCTTGCTGACCAACACAAAAGTCCCTCGAAGCACCAAGGTCCTGGTGTCTGGTGTGAAAGAGAAAATCCTGAAGGTGCAGCACCTGTGTGGTCACAGGGATGGAGACGTGTGCTGGGGAAGGGTCGGGGAATAACCCTCATGAGCTCACATCTCGTCACGCGGGGCTGCAGGTCTCTGGGGATCTCTTGGGAGATCCCTCTTGGGGTCACTGCATACCCAGCTGCCCTGGGAATGGGGGTTCAGCTTGCCACCTCCCTCTCTCCAGCCCTAACAGGGCTTGCCACAAAAATCACCACTTCCTTCCTCTGGCCTCTTTCTCTTCCTCCAGTTTCTGCAGGTGAGAGCAACTTACCATTGCCCTGCTCTGCAGCAGGGGGTTCTGTGAATGAGTAAGCCTGAGTGGGGTGAGGAATCGTCCAGCTCCAAGACACTGGGGCCAGTTTTATCACAGTGGTATTGGAAGACTAGCGAGCAGTCTTCTCACATCTTGCCTTCCCCCCTTCTCAGTTCCCTGCTATAATGAACCCGGTGCTGGACTCCATCGATGCAATTTCTCAGGAGTGCCAAAGTGTTCTGGAAGCGATGCCTGCAAATCCATCACCGGAGTATTACCCTGTGCTGGAGGTAAGGGGCTTGTTCGCCAGTATTTTTAGACACTGTTACTGTTGAACATCAAAATGTCATTTAAAGAACATTAGGTCTAAGAAAAAATTTGATAGCAGGAAATGTTCAGTTCCGAGTGAAACCATGGTCTGTGTGCACACTGCTTTTAATGCCCTTCCTGGAGCCAAGGGACGGAAAATGCTGCTGGTGTCTCTCCACAGCAGTGCACAGGGAGGGAGTGGGCCTGGTGCTTTGTGAACCTGTAGCTCTGGAGGTTTTGTTTCCCTTTGCTAAGAAATGTGAGGGAGTTCAGGATGAGCTGCTGCCTCCCTGTGCTGTGGGCCAGCCACGCTCATTCTGGCAATCACTGGCAGTGAAGCAACTGCTTTGTCATTGCCAAGGCTGGAGTGAAGAGCAGAGAGCCCAGCAGCCACTGGTTTGTGATGAACTGGTTACGAGCCAGCTCCCATTGCTTTGCACTCATCCTGGCTCCAGAGAATAACAGACAGAGTTGTGCCCAGAGCTGACCTGACGTTGATGCATGAGGTGCATACAAAGATCTGTGTTTGTCTTGGCTTTGTTCAAAGTAGGAAGGGCTGCTGTGGTGGGGGGAGACACGTGTCCAAGTGGCAGAATTTTTTTGCAGTGCTGAGAGCACTGTAGTCATGATCCATACAACTGTGGAGGAAGGAGATGTGGCAGCGTCCCAGCCGAGGCAAACCTGGCCTTGCCCTGGGTGCCCAGTGACTTGGATGGTCAAGAACCATTTGGTACCAGCAGTGCAGTTCCTTGTTGGCTCTCCTGTGAGGACCTCTGCTTGTCCTTGCTGTTGCTGGTAGGTTCTCCCCTCCGCAGGCACAAGTGTGCTCCGGAGGTGCAGGAGAGGGCTCTTGGGTGGGACAGAGCTGTTGTCGCAGCTCGACCTGTGGCAGCATTGAAGGGCTGCTCTGTCAGCAGATGGTTGGTACAGCCTTCTCCTCTTTGCTTCAGGCTGTGTTGCACCTCACTGCCTGTGGGTGGGCTACTGCTGGGACTGCAGCAAAGATGGGAGGGTCTCCCGTGGGATTCATAGCAAAGTCCTTCTGCAACCTTTGCACCAAGAGGATGGTGGCTTTCTGTACCCCTCAGGGTGGACTGACCCTAATGAGGGCTGAGCTGGCATTGGCTGGGGGAGGTCTGGAGTCTGTTTGCAGCACAACTTCTCTCCACCTTAACGCATTATTGCTCAGGCTGTTGGAAGTATTGGGAGATGGGGAAGAGGAGGGCCAATTTGAAGTGTGCTTTGAGATCCTCACATGAAAGAATCCAAAGCAGCCTTGTGTATAGTGCCTGGGAAGCAGCACTGCAGTGAGGGGATTTCTGTCTTGAACCTGTTGTTTTGTGTTGTTCTTGAATTGCCCACAGAGGCACAGTTGATTATATGCAGCATATATAGATATTTGGCTGTTTCTGAAATATGCAATTCTGGACAGCATTGTATTTGAACCGTCGAACTAGTCTACTGTGTCATAAGCTGTCATCAGATTCGTGGCAGATTTTGGATCAGGAGATGACAGGTGTCTTGGATCATCATAGACAGTGCTGTGCCCTCACTCAGGCATATAAAGAGGCCTCTGGATGGATGTCTGTCCAACCCAGCACAGAACTTGTGATATAGCCGCTCTGCATGCAACTGGCTACTTCATCCCCTCGCGTTTGTTTAATCGCAGTACAGAAATGCTCTGGAGCTGGGGAGAGGGATTATTTCTGCATTGTCCCCTCCTGTGTCGTGTTGGCAGGAGACCTGTGCAGAGCTGAGGGAGGGTGTTGTGACTGACAGCTGCCACGCTGCAGCATGGCTCCCCCCCCTCCCCCTGCGGGGGAGGCCTCGAGCCGCCGGCAGCAAAGTGCTTGGTGGCACCGGCTGGAGGAGGGAACGCAGGGCTCCTGTTCGGGACACTCTCTGGGACTGGTCCCATCTCAGCTGGCTCCCTGCTTGTGACACCCTCTGGGACAGCGAGGGGAACAGCCGCCACACGCCAGGGAGGTGATCGAGTCGTGGTGTCAGACCAGCGCTGCTGAGAGCGAGCCGCCTCCGCTGGCGGCGCTGATGAGCGGGGCGGGCGCTGCGGGGCTTGGGGGCCTGGTGTCAGTTCCTGGACCTGCTCCAGGCTCGCTCTGAGTGCGGGCCAAGTCCTTCCCTCTGTTCCTTAGTTCCTCACCTCTTGTACTGGGAGGAAAGAAGCTGTAACTCCCACCTCTGTGTGGTCTTGTCCATCCCTTGGGCCATTTGGACTTTGCTGTGGCAGCTTTCTCCAGGAGCCGCAGGGTTTGTGGCTGGCTGCGACAGCATGGCACAGATGCACTTGCCGCTCACCAGAGCTGGGCAGCTCTGCTTGGAGGGTGGCCTTGCTTGGAGAGTGGCTTGCGCTGCTCTCCCCCGAAGGGAGGACCCTCTTGACCCCACTTGAGCTGGGTGCCAGATTCCCAGCGTGGTGCTGGTGAGAGGCCCCTTGGCTCGCAGCCCAGCCCCTGCCCGTGAGGAGTGCGGCACAATGCAGACGAGGCAAGGTAGCTCCATGTCGCCTCTCCAGCGATGCTGTTTCAGACTTGGCTGTGTCAGAAGTCCCCTGGATTTAGTTATGCTGGATGGATTGCAGGGCAGGGTGACAGCCAGGAATGAGAGCTGCTGGCTTAGTGCCCTTCCCACGGCCAGCAGGGCTTGCACAGTCTCCTGCTCAACACTTGTGTGACAGGGGAGAGGTGAAGCGGTCAGGAGGCATCAGGGAGCTCTGATTTAGCGCCTGAAATAAATATCTGCTGGCAGCTTGGGGTGACCAGGATTTTCTCTGTCTTCCCTGAGCAAGGAGGTCCAGAAGCTGTTGTACCTCTGTCACTGTGGTGGGCAGCAGCAGCACAGATCATGAGGAGGTCAGGGACAGATGAGCAGCCCAGGGCTCAGACTCTGGCCTTGACTTTGCTGCCCAGTGCTGCTGGGCCCTGAGACATGCTGGTGGCTGAATTCGCCGGAGAAATGAGATGGCTGCGCAGGGGGGTGGCTGGGAAGGCAGGGCAGCACCTTGCTGGGGAGGGAGCTGCAGCTGTGAAGAGCCTCTGTCACCGTGTGTGCTCATCTCACGTGTGTGCGGTTGCTTTTAGGAACTCTTTGATATAAACCAACACCACTTAAACGTGATCGGAGTTGGCCATCCCTCCCTGGACAGGCTATGCCGGGTGACAGCGTCCCACGGCCTGCACAGCAAGCTGACCGGGGCTGGCGGGGGCGGCTGTGGCATCACCCTGCTGAGACCAGGTCAGTAACCCACCGTTTGCCCTGGGCATCCTTCCCCCATTCCACGTGGCCCTGCCAGTGGGGTCCGGTTTGGAAGCAGAGGGATGCGATGCCAGCCCTCGTATGGCTGTGGTGGGATGTGAAGCCATGTCACGAGCGTGGGATGGTGTCTAGCAGAGCCGCCTGGCAGTGTGGTTTGCAGTGTTTGATACGGGGGCGATTCAGTGCGTTCATTTATGTGTGTCAGCTCTTCAGGGCATTGGCCCTGTTCCAGGGGGCATGTGTTTAAATGTGCGATGGCCCGTTTCGGTCTCCCTGCAGTGGCCTAGCTGACTAACTGGCTGTTCTTGCCTTCCTCTTGGCAGACACCTCCCCGCTGGCCGTGGAAGCAGCCAAGCGAGACTTATGTGCCTGTGGATTTGAATGCTGGGAGACCAATATCGGGGCCCCTGGAGTGACCCTGCACTCCCCCTCGTCTTTAAACGCCAAAGTGCTGCACGCGCTCTCCGAGAGTTAAGCTTCTGCCTCTGGCGAGACTGAGCTCTTGGCACCATGTCCTTGGAATGATAGCTGTGCATGCTCTGATGCCGGGAAATCTCTCTCCCGCTCTCTTGCATGGCTGTGGGCCTCTAGATGTGGGTGCGGAACCAGTTTTGGGCCTGGTGTCACTGGGAGTAGGGGCTACGATGAGGACCTGGGAGCAACTGCTTGCACTTGGGCTGGGTGCGAGTTTGACCCAGGCTTTCCAAATCCTGTTTTGAATTTACTTATTCAACTGCTGTGCTAATCCCAAGGGGCAAGAGGAGAGGGTCTTGGCTGGATTCCAGCGTGGATAATGACACTTTGCTTGGTTCTGCTGCTTCAGATGCATGTGGTGTCGCTTCCCTTCTCCCTTGGCGTCCTGCGAGGGCGGGCAGCGAGGCTGGCAAGGTGGATGTGCAGAGCGCTTTGACGCTTTTGGGTGAAAAGCATCTTGGCAGCTCAGGGCTTGACACTCAGGTCTCCCTTTTTCCTGGACTGCAATTCATGGTGGAGAGGAAACCTTTAAATAAGGCTCTTGCCTGCTACTAATTAAGAGTTGGATAATTAAAATGAAAGAAACAGCACATTTCTAATGAGATTATCACT